GGAATTCCTAGCTAGAGCAATAAGGCAAAAGACAAACATAAAGGGGATCCAGATAGGGAAAGAAGAAGTAAAAGTCTCCCTCTTCTCAGATGACATGATCTTGTATTGAAAGAACCCCATAGGTTCCTCTCTCAGGCTACTTAAGTGGATCTGAAATTTTGGCAAAGTAGCAGGTGTAAAGTTAACCTATAAAACTCAGTAGCTTTTCTGTATGCCAACAATGAGAAGAGTGAGGCTGAAATCAGGAAATCAACTCATTTCATAGTAGCCTCAAAACACACGCACAGGTGGGCGCACACAGACACACAGACGCACAAACACACAGACACAGACACAGACACACACACACACACACAAACACACACAAACACACCAAAAACCCTAGGAATTAATCAAAGATGTGAAGGACTTCTATAATGAAAACTTTTAAAAACCTGAAGAAGGAAATTAAAGCAGACTTAAGGAAGTAGAAAAAAACCTCCCATGCTCCTGGATTGGGAGGATTAACATCATGAAAATGGCAATACTGCCCAAAGCTATCTACAAAGTCAAAGCAATACCCATCAAAATCCCACCAACATTCTTCAATGATATAGAAGAAGCAATCCAAAAATTCATATAGAATAATAGAAGAGCCTGAATAGCAAAATCAATCTTTAACAGGAAGAACAGCACCAGAGGAATATCAATACCAAACTTCAAACTCTATTACAAAGCTGTAGTTATAAAAACAGCTTGGTACTGGCACATGAACAGGCCTGAGGACCAATGGAATAGAATCAAAGACCCAGAAATGAACCAACAGCCTATAGCCACCAAATCTTTGATAAAGGAGCCAAAAACACAGAATAGAAGAAAGACAGCCTCTTCAACAAATGGTGCTGACAGAAGCTGGCTATATACACATGCAGAAAACTGAAGTGTGATCCTTATATATCACCCTGCACCAAAATCAATTCCAAATAGATCAAAGATCTCAACATAAGACCAAATATCCTGAAAAGGGGTAGGGGTAGGGGAAGAACCAGGGCTCCCTGGCACAGGTTGAAACTCCCTAAGTAAAGATCTAGAAACACAAATCAAACAAAGGCTGGATAAGTGGGATTGCATTAAACAGAAGACATTCTGCATGGCAAAGACATAGCTAGCAGGATAAATAGAAAGCCCACACAGATTGGGAGCTCTTTACATCATTTACATCTTTACATCTCTTTAAATCTTTACATTGGGAACTATGCATCAGACAAGGGCCTCATATCTAAAATATACTTAGAGCTCAAAAAATTAAATCCCCCCAAAACAAATCCTCAAAGAAACAACAACCTCATCAATACATGGGCTAAAGACTTAAAGAGAGACTTCTCCAAAGAAGAAATAAAAATAGCCAATAGAAGAAAATATTCAACATCTCTGGCCATAAAAGAAATGCAAATCAAAACAATATTGAGATTCCACCTTGCCCCAGGTAGAATGGCCATTATCAAGAAAACAAATAATAACAGATGCTGGCCAGGATGTGGCCAAAAGGAGACACTACTACAGTGTTGATGGGAATGTAAACTTGTTCTACCACTCTGGAAAGCAGTATGGGGGTTCCTCAGAAGACTAAACATAGAGCCTCCTTAGGACCCAACAATTACACTCCTGGGCATTTATCCAAATAATCACAAACCAGTCTGCACTAATGACACCAGCACAACCATGTTCATTGCAGCATTATTTACCATAGTGAAGATATGGAATCAGCCCCTCTGTGGCTAAATGGATCAAGAAAATGTGGCATACATACACAATGGAATTTTATGCTTCCATCAGAAAGAATGACATTGCCTCATTTGTAAAGAATTGGAAAGACTTGGAAAAAATCATATTTAGTGAAATAAGCCAGACCCCAAGAAAGATAGGAGGCATGGTTTCCCTCATTGGTAATAACTAGAATATGTCTATAAATCTCTAAGTTAATCCAATGGATGGTAAAAGACAAAAATAATGACACTCTAATTAAATAACACTCTAAGTATTGCACACTGAGAACAAAAGAGGATATTCTTAGGCGAGGATCATAATGGCTCAATATCTATGTGCATATGACCATATAAAATGATGCTTATCAAAATGAACTCCAAGAAATGGAAACAAGAGGGGTTTTTTTGGTGTTGTTTTGTTTTCCAGTCATGGGGCTTGAACTTGGCCTGGGAGCTTTCTGTCCCTCAGCTCTTCAGCTCAAGGTGAGTGCTCTACCACTTGAGCCACGGTGCCACTTCTGGTTTTCTGGTGGTTAGTTGGAGATAAGAGTCTCACAGACTTTCTTGCCCGGGCTGGCTTTGAACCAGGATCCTCAGATCTCAGCCTCCTGAATAGCTAGGATTACAGGCGTGAGTCACAAGATTTTTTTTTTTTTTACTGTAGTGTTCGCAGTTATTTCTTTTTTCTTTCTTTCTTTTTCCTTTGGTTTATTCCCTGTTGTCATTGTCTTTTTTTAAATTTCTGTACCCTTTGTCTTGTATATAAGTTTATCTGAGTTGGGGAAAGGAATGAAGATCATAGAAACGGTGGGACAAAGGGTGAAGTAATTCAACAGTGATATGCACTACATTATGTTGAAAATGAACTTTACAACTTGAAGGGAGGGGAGTTGGGAGTGGGAGAAAATGAGGGAGGGAGTAACTAACATATTCAAAAAGAAATGTACTCATTATCTCACTTATGTAACAGTAACTCCTCTGTACATCACCTTTACAATAAAATTTAAATTAAAAAAAAGAGTTGTTGGAATAATCAAATATGGTTTTCAGTGCCTTTAAAAGTATAATGCTCTGTACAATGACAAGGTTTGGCTGAAAATCCAGTGTTTATTAAATCATAAGAACAGCTCATTATGTGAAATTATAGCAGTGTAACAATTCATGTCACGATGATACACAGTGAAAACATTTGGGGTTAGGAGGCCATGGAGGTGAAGAAATATAAAGGTTGAAGGCTGATATGTACCCTTCTCTGGGGAATATAGCTTTGCGACATGCACAATCACCAAAGCTTGCTATTTACTTCACTTATTCATTCAGAAAAAAATACATATCAAAGGCCCATTATGTGTCAGGTGCTGAGAATGTAGAGAATAAGGCAAAACCACGACTAAGGAGCTAACATTATAAAAGTAGAGGAAAAAAATTAAACAAACTGTCACACATATTCAAATGATTCTAAACAGTCCAAGGACCACAAAAGGGCAATGCCAAGTACTATGAAGGAGTATAGGAGAAGCCAACTTTACATCATAGGTGCTGGGGAAAACTTTCTGTAGATTAGCATTAGATCTAAGCCCCAAAGTAGGAAAAGGTGAGTATGATCAGAGTATAGAAAAAAATAGAATGCATTGTTTCCCTGTGTCTCTATAGCAAAAAATAGTGTAAGTACTGGCATATCATCTAATACAATTGTGATAGATGGCTACTGTAGGGTATAATACAGCTGCTATATATTGTTGCTGTAAACTTTAGTTATAGGTTTTATATACTCTTAGTATAGCCACAGCCTAGTACCATACACAGTGGTCTAGTTAATAAAAGCTGCTATACTTACATAAGGTGCATTTTCTGTCATGGTAGAATATACATATATTACTATTAAATGCTGGAGTACATCTTCTCTATTTAACTATTAAGGCCATATCCTACATATTATATTATTAAATACAAGCTTAGCTGAAATCTCTCTATATTTTTTCCTAAATTGGATTACATGCTTCATGTTATTATTATTGTCATTGTTATTTAAACTAGGCTCAAGTGTTCTACCACTTGAACCATGCCCCTGTACTTTTTGATCTTCATTTGATTTTTCAGATAGAGTCTCATATTTTTGTAATTGCATGCTTCTCTAATGTGGAAAAAGTAGGAAAAGAGAAAGGAGGAAATATGCATTTATATTTGGAACTTACAATATATCTAACATTGTGCTTTAAATTCATTATCTCCAAAAACCTTACAATTCTTTAGCATCCTCACTTGCAGATGAGAAGAGTCTTGTGAGGCCATGCCATTGATCACAATGTCATATAGGAGGTAGGAGAGCAGAACTTGACATCCCCTGTTCATAGCCACTATCTCCATAGCCCATGGACCCAGCCAGTACACTGCCCCTCTAAGCCCATGAGGCTCCTTGGGGCAGGCTTGACTTCTCAGACTTTCAGTGCTTGGCATGCATAGCACTGGCTGTGGGACTGGAGGACAACAGGGAGGAGCAGGGCCTCACTCAGACAGAACTGCATTCCTGCCCTCTCTCCTCACAGGGCACAAACCTGAGACAGATTCTTGACCTGTTCTGAGGGACTGAGCATCCAGAGGGAGATATCAAGAGAATAAAAGTCAGAGCGCATGAGAGGAAAGTAGAGACATGGCTGTCTGCGTTCTGGCCTGTATCCAGAGATCTGATCAGTTCATGTGAGGTCTGGATTCATTTACTGCCTTAGAATTATGAGAAACTTACTATTCCTTAATTCCTTCCTTTTTTCCTTCTCTTCCTCTCTCCCTTTTTCCTTCCCTCCTTGTTTTTTTTCTTCATTCCTTCCACCTTTCCTCCTAAAAGTGGATTTTATTATCTGTAAACTGAGAAACCTTAACTGTAAAGCAAAGGCAGTATTTAGGAGCGCAGAGTCTCTCTCTGATTGTTGCTTTGGGCCTTGTACTTTCAGTTTTTGGCATGTCCAGCCCTGGCAGTGGGCATGTCCTCTAGATTTGTAGTGAAATAATATTAAATAAAATATGTGTAGGAGCTCAAAAGGCCATTATTGGGTCAGCAAGCAGACTTCTTAGAGTGGCACTTCTCAAAATCTGTTCTATAAACCTAATATGAATAGTAGACTGTGTGGATCATGACACTAACCTTTGAGAAACACTGAGCACTATATTTCTCTTTTGAGACTTGAGGTGCTTATATTCAAAATTCTGGAAGGTCTTATTGTAAAAAGGTTTGTTTAACTTAACATTTTCCAAACTTACTTGCACTCTGAATTCTCCCCCACCCACAGTAAGACCCTGGCAAGTCCCATCAAACCCTGGAAACAATGCTGTAGACCACAGGGTGGCTCTGGGAGAGGCTGGCCTACGGGACCAATAGGGCAGCTTGAAGCTCTCCATTCTGAGTTTCTATTATTATTTTTCAGACTCTCCAAAGCTGTAGCAGTAAATTCTCCTGATCGATGGGCTCTTTGTTGCTATTCAGAACAGTTTTAGCAACAGGATTAATGCCTGTGGCTAGAGACTTTCTCCAACTCTCATAATGAGAAAGAATCACATTTTCTCAGTAGGAGTAGCATAGAGCTTGAATTTCACTATGAAACTATTTCTGAGGGTTGGGGATTTTAAAATCCTGAAATATCTCTTCCTCCCCATCACAAAATCTGAAGCTTGAGGACGCATAGAAAGCATCTAGCCCCTCTCCTCTGATCATCTGAAGGCCAGTCATTTTTGCCAAGGTCATAGACCTGTTTCTAGCTAGTCCTTCTCTGGACCACAAATGATGACATAAGTAAGTGTGTGGGATGTCAGCATTGACCTCGGCGTTCACCACTGCTGCTGGTGTAATTAAACAGAAACATTAACATAAATCAAATGGTCATTCCCCCACCATCACCACTAGTAGCACTTCCTGCCTAGGGGAGGTGGGAAGGCATTGTTCTCAGGCCTGCAACAAGTCAAAAACCTTGCAAATGCTAATGAGCCATCACTTTGGACAATTAAGAGAGGAAGTAAAAAATTTTCTTTCATGCCTCCCATGGGCTTTTTTCTTAACTTATACCCAGGGGCATTAGCAATCCCTTCTGGACTCAGTTTCCATGGTTTTGGAAAGTAATAAGCCAACTCTGTGTAAAATGGGCTCTGCTGTGTGTCAGATCTGGTTTAATGTGAGTACCGACCATGACCTTCTCATCTTCAGGCCTGTTTTCTCATCAGTAAAAATCATCTCTTTTGTTAACTTATAAGCATGCTGATCCCTGTTGTTAGACATTAGGAATTCAAAGACCATTGAGATTCAATCCATGTTCTGTGGTGGCTTGAATTCTACTGGGCTATAGGTAATAGGAAAGCACACTCAATAATCAGGGAACCCAGGAAAGGGAGTGGCCAATTCTGTTTAAGGCTTGGTAGAATGCTTTCCAGAAGAGGGACATAACCTAAGTTCCCAAACGGGTTAGTTAGATGAAAAAAAGAAATAAGACAAGTGTTGGCAGAGGGCCATCTGCGCAAGGGTAACGTAACCCACAGGTATGTCTGGGGTAATAGGCTTTGCTTGGAGTAGCTGTAGCAACAGTCCTAAGAGGGGAGAAGGAGGTGGGGCAGAAAAGTGAGACACAGCACCTGGTCAGGCAAAGCCTTGCATACCAAAGCTGGGGAGGTTTTCTTGAAAGTATGGTCCAATCAGTTTTAAAGCTGTACAATATGGGTTGTGAATTAGAAAACCTATTGACTGTGTGACTTTGGTCAAGTCACTTGCCTCAACTGTGAAATAAGGGTAACAACACCATCTGTCTCAAAAGTTCCAATGGTCTCTTTACAAATGATCACCTGGGTAGTGAAATTTTAAGTGTTAACTGATGGTGCCAATATAGGAGAAAATATCCAGGCATGAGTCAGAATGGGGTTGGCTGGTATGGTCACATTAAAGAGTGACAGTTCACATGGTCTGGTCATGCTGCTTTCCTTCACTAATGATCTCCAAGGAGCAACACCACAACAAAGGAGCAATCATTATAACCCATATGAGATTCTACAAAACTCAATTCCTCCCACCATTTCTTCTGATATTCCTGTGCCAGGAAGTTATTATTATGCCCATTACCCAAGAGAAACTGTGATCATCAGAGAGGGAAAGTGAATTCACTGAGCTTACATAGAAAGTAGGTGTTAAGACTGATACTAGTTCCCCTGATCCCTGATTCCTGAGCTGTCCATGAAACCCCAACAGTGGCTCTGCAGAAATAGCCAGGGCTCATCAGACATACTCTCAAGAACCAAGGTGAAGAACAACAATTTTTTTCTCTAAGTTTATCCTCTTTTTATGCTTGCTTCCATCCTTCTATCCTGTGACCACCTGCTTCTCAGCGTTCTCCTCACTCCCTCACCTGTAATTGCCCAGGTAGACTCCATCAGGGTTGAGCATTGGTGCAATCTTGAAGACCAGGTGTTCTCGAAGAGCACGGGCAACCGGGTGCTGGCTCACAAGGAAGTCAATGATCCCTAGGGAGAGAATAGTCTGCATTAACTTCAAAGTGTTTCAAGGAGGGAGTACATTTTTCTCAGCTTGGAAAACAATAAGAGCTCAACAGGTGACTACTGGCCTGCTGCAGTGGCTGTGTGGCTATGGAAGAGATGATTCCCAGTGTATCTTCCTAGTATATCTTCCCTCCCCTCCCCCAGAAGAAAGACATTTCAAGACACAGCCCTGAGGCCCAGAGACAGGAGCTGGGGAAAGCACCTCCTGCTGGAAAGGACAGATGAGGAGGGCTCCAAGAAAAAGATGACATTTGAGCTGTGCTTTGTGTTCTTATCCATGAAAGCAGAGGGCCACCCTGAGAAGTCCAAAGCTCAGCACGTCACTCCTTCTTTAGTACCCTCTGGTGATGGGGCTTGCACCTATCAAGAGCACAGGGGGTGGGACAATCAACAGCTCTGAGCTTTGGACCCTCCCCTTTGTTCCACATTTCCATTTCTTCATTGGAGATCTGAACAAATGGTTAAAATGCTGCTCTAACAGTTCATGAGAAGAATGTAATGCAAGAAAATGAGAGGAGAGGTCCTGAAAATACAAAGGGGTCCCATTCCCTGTTAGGGAGACCAAGAAAGGCCTGGAGGAGAGGGAATATTTGAACTGTGCCCTGACAGGTCTTGAAAGACAGGCGGAAGAAAGCTAGTAGGGTAACTAAGAGCAATCCACATGCCCAGCAGCAGGCACTGAGCTCTTGGAATGACCAGTTACCCCAGAACATATTCCAAAGCTGCTGTGACCAGTGAGGGACATCTCAAGCTTTTTATTATGCCAAGCTGAGAATCCATCAGCAATCCAGAGCCAGTTGGACAGCATTTACTTCCCAGTCAATGCAACAGTGGACCAGATGCCCTAATTTATTTGTTGGTCCTCATATTAAAGTTGCAGTTTGCCAGTAAACAGGCAGAGTAATGATGCCAGGCACCCTTGTTAGGGGCTAATAATTGCTTAATCTGTTTACTAATTGACCCCAGCTCCCGGGGTGGCCCTCTATCAAGGAACCAGTCTGTGCTCAGGATCTGGACATGCTGCCTCTGAGAATGGCTTCTGGAAATGGAGTAGCTTGTCACGATCCATCCTCCTTCACAGATGAACAGATTAATTGGGCTGCCAATTAGGCAGCTAATAAAAGAAAGAAAAAACAAAGCCAGACCAGAGGCTGTAGCAGCCCAGAGCTCCCTCCCTGAGGTGGGTAAGGGAAAAGAGAAGGGGAAGTTTCAGACTCATCTGTTGGCTTGAGGTTAAATCCAACATAAATCATTGCCAGTGATCAGAATATCAGAAGATCTTTCCTTATTGATTTATTTTTGGTAGTAGAGGAAGGTAGTAAGTGGAGAAGAAGGAGTAGAAGGAAGAAAGTGGGAGAAAGCAAGAGTGGGGACCATGCCATATCTGGCTGAATGTGGATGGAAAGCACTGCATGGGACAAGGAAGCAGAGGAACTCAGGGAGAAGAGTGAATCAAGGCATTGTATTTGAGCCTTGATTGATTGTTAGCTGGATGCATGGCTTGCTAGCTTTCGCTGAGCATTTTTTTCATCTTGACAGAAGGATGATACTGAATCTGGAAGAATGTTGCGCATCTGGGAAAGAACATTTGGGCTCAACTTAGATCTCCACATAGCACACACGTAGGTCCTAGTTTTGGGTGAGCTGTAGGAACCTTCCGGGCATACTTTCTCTACAATTAGGAGAAAGAGCTGAGGAAATCCTAAGGAGGCATCTGACACTGACATCAAATGATTCCATTCGTTTTATTCCTTTTCTCCAAAGTGGCCAAATCCTGGTCTGTTAGGCAAGGAGAGTAATCTTCCTGCTGGGTGCCAAAATGTGCTCCCTTGACATGGGTCCTTGTTCTGTGCTGAACAAGTTTACCAGGTCCTTTCCTTTGGGCAGATTTAATCAGAAAGATGGAGGGGGGAACAGAAATGGGAAAGCTGTAGACTAGAGAGGCTAGGTGAAGAAAGAAAAGTGGTGGAAGATTTGAAATTAAAGCTGAGTGGCAGGGATTCTTGCCCAGTGTGAACCTCCAGCTGGCCAGAATGAATCTCACCAGGCCAACCACAATGGAACCTGGTATTCATTATTGTTATTTCAGGACTGGGCCTACAGCAGGTCCTTAATAAGTGCCTATTGATGGATCAGTCCCAGAACTCACTCAAGCTTGATCAAGTCTGTAGTTAGTGAAATCGACAATCAGTCTACAAACACCCTTGGCAGGGCCAGTGATGGACATTCTAAGATGAAGAAGATGCTCCTGTCATCTCCTTATTGACTGGCCAAAGGTCTGATGGACACTGCATAGAATATGAGAAATTAGAAAGGGCTTTAGAGGTTAAGGAGGGGTCCTGGAGAAGGGACTTGGAAGATGAACAAGCCAGATGAAAGGTGCCAGGAAGGTACACAGGCAGGGGAATTCTTATACAGAAGCTTGGTGGTGGGAAAGAAGGTAACTATTCAATTGCAGGAACATAGCTTCAAGGTGAAAAGTACAGACATAAAGTAAACTCTCCTCCTCAGGACTCATTGACTGTGTTGTGGCCTTACCTCCTCAGTTTTCCTCGCCAGTTCAAACGGTGAGAATAATTATTAGCTGTGGGTTACTGTGAGGATTTAAATGAGCTGATGCAAACCAAGTATCTGGTACCTGGGTTGCTCTTCCTTGGAGGAAGAGGAGTGGGAGACATGAATGGGAGAAGTGAGCAGGGACGTGGCAGGATAGCTGAAAACACCTGAAAGACAGAGGGAATCACTGCAAGGCTTGAAGCCAGGGAGACACAGGACTCCTAACTACCACCTGAGGGGAGGAATACAGTGACAGGATGTCTTGAAGGCTGGATTAGGGTGGAGGTAGGGAGTAGACAGATAAGAAGCCAGCACATATAAAGCAGATTGTCATCAGCAAACGGACTGATGAGGTGGAAGCCTGCTAAGGCTCTGGTGTGACCAAGGCCCAGAGAATCATGAGAACGGAGCATGTGCCAGGGAGTTAGTACAGTACTACCCTCCCCCTACCACCTCTGAAAAAATCATATAACCTGTGGCAAGATGCCTGGGATTAGGTTTCTGGCCCCTGGCACCATGGGGATCTCAAAATGGAGCTCAGAAGAATAAGGAAAATTACCTCTCCTGAACCTTTGAGTTTGGGAGATTGCTGCTTGTATGTGATGATCATGTCTATCTCCCCTCCAGGGCCTGAAATCCTGGAAAGCAAGAATTGGTTCACAATCTCTGCCACCTCACTCTCAGTGCCTGACACATGGCAAGTACTCAATAGATACACGAGAAATGATCCACGAAGGCCATTTTATTAGTGGATTGACTTGCAATGCTATTGGCTCCATTTCACAGACAGAGAAACGAAGTCAGGGTGTGATATCACTAGCTGAGAGCCTCACTGGAGCCTAGATGTAACTCAGATTCAGTTCTACTGGCTTCAAAGCAGTGCTCCATTGTTGTTGTTGTTGTTATTATTAAAGCAAGATGGAAAGAATCAGATCATCTGCATATGTTTTGCAGTGATTTGCATGTGCCCACATGATTTTCCCTCTAGAGACTTCTATGTAAGGCTTAGTAGTTTCTGTTCTCTGTTCCAAGGTAACATCATAGAGTGGGAAGAACCTGGGCTAGAATCAAGACAGCCAAGATCTCTCCTGCTGACACCACCTATTCCAGGCCCTCCCCTGTCTGTCACCAGGCCCTGTCCTCAGCCCAATGACCTCAACGCAGGGGATCATAGAGAGTCTAGCCCTGAGGAACTTAAGGCTCACAGTGTAAGACTTCACCTTCCACTCCCAGTTCTGCCCATTTCTCAAAGAAAAGAGTGATCCAGGACAGTGAAAGGACCCATTATACCCACATTTATGATGAAAGGCTATTTGGGGCTGAGATAGAGAAGATGCTACCTGAGTGAGGACCAAAGGTAGGAGGAAAGCCAAGTGCAGGAAGGGGCAAACCTGACTGATAGGAAACAGATATACTAGGTTGTATTTGCTTAGTCCTGGTGGCTGGTAGCACTGGTGATTATGAGATCATGTTTTGTGTGTGTGTGCACGTGTATGTGTATACATGAATTTCCTTCCTCCTCCTCTTACCCTCACAATTTAATCCTGAAGAGTGAACCTCTTGAAAGGGAGGGCTTTTATCTCTCTATTGTGTAGGCAGTGGGGGCATCTTGGCCCAGTCTCAGGGTCAAGTCCCCTGTGCCACCACTAACTTGCCAGGTGATGTCCAGTGAGCCCGTTGACATTTCTGAAAAGCAGAACTAAGAGTCTGGGACTGCCTGGGGTACCTGTGGATGTACACAGGAATGTGAGCACAGCTCAGCAGATTTCATCTCCATGGAAGCAGTTACTGCTGCTCCATTCTGCAAGTGAGGAGCCAGGCTGAGAGTCAATGGACTTGTTAACGTAAGGGTTCCTCAGCTAGCAGACAGAAGTGGCAGGACTCAAACTCAGACCCATCTACCTGTACACCTCAGCCTTACCACTACATTCTGCTCTCAACCTGAGCATGGCATGCCTGGCTCTCAGTGGTATTCCGTGAGTGTTGGTCTCCTTAATTCACAAACAAACATGTGAAGAGGCCCAGGTGCTCTGCAAATGGAATTTATGGTGAGAGTGTTCCAACTGCTCCAGGAAGGTTCAGTGAGTGCCAGGAGCCAGAGACTGAGGTCTAGCTCTGGCTCTGGCCAAATGTCCAACATGAGTTGAGGAGGGCCCAGCTAAAAAAAAGCAGTGAGGCAGAGTGGGACCCACAGTACCAGAGGCTCAAACCTGAGTATGGGCTCACAGTGAGCCTTAGAAGAGCCATGCAGAGAACTGACAACTTAGGCTATTAGCGTTGTCTCCCTGACTATAGACACCCTAATGCTCATTGTATTCCAGGCACCACCTTAAACAGTATATGGGTAAGTGCTTAATAACTTCTTTACAACGAACAGTGATACAAGATGCCCATTAGTTCTCTTTGGAGAAAAGGGAACTGAGGCACGGAGAGGTTCTGTGGTGTTCCCCAGGTAAATGGAGGACCTGGAATCCCATTCCTAGCAGTACCATCAGACCTCAGATATGGTGTCACACCTGCGCTTCCCTGTCCACTCACGTTGGAACTGGACATGAAGAGAAGTAGGCCTCACAGAAGCCCTAGTGGAGCTTGGCATGAAGGGAATGGCCTGGAGTCTTCTCTCTCATCATCAAGTCTTCAGGAAGTTCAGCCTTTATCACTGTGAATGCTACCTGTTCAGGGCTCTGCACTGATGTGACTTTACTCCCAGTAGCAGGTGCATTAGCAGCTCGGCAGTGAGAACCATGGTCCCAGACAGATGGGGAGAACCAGCCTCACATAGCTGCTTCCTGCTCAAGGTCACTCAGCCAGCTAACAGAACCAGGGCAATCTTGGCCATCATCCCTCAAGGCCTCAGACTTGCCTACATCCCCAGGGCATGGTTGGCTCTGACTGGGTGGGGGGGGGGGAACCTCCTACTATGTCATTTGGGGTTTGATGTGGCTGTCTCCATGAGAGATCTTGTGTAGGTGGAAAAGTGGGGAGTGATGCCTATTTTATGCCACCTCGAGGAAGAATACATCTACTGCCTTGTAGGAGACATGGAAAGAGGAAGAGATGGATTCCAGGGCCACTGTCATCAATGAGTTGTAGGGCACAGAAGAAGATACCTTACTTCCTTGAGCTTCTGCATCTCCATCTGGAAAATGTGCATCAGTTGTGGAGTTGCTAGAACTCTGCATTCTTCCAGGTACAAATTTGGCTTTCTAGCATTTCCCATCCCTAAGCAGAACAAGGAGCATGTTCAGGCTAGCCAGGTCTGAGGTAAAAGCTCCTCTCTTCCATTTGCTAGCTGTATAACCTGCTTATTTTTTTTAATTCAGTTTTAGCAATTCAGAGCTAACACAGGCTTTGTTGTGCACACGAGCCCCAGAAGATGGAGACCATAATTTTATTTTACAGATATAGAAAATGACCACTGGAGAGCGAGTCTCTAGACCTTAAATAGCTCATAGTTGAATGGGAGAGAAAAAAATGAAAATCAATCCCATAACCACTCAGGGCAATAAAAGTCTTTTATTGATGGTGGTAATCTTTAGACCTATAATGTAAGTAGAAAGCAGAGGGTTGGACAAAGTGGGCCAGGATGGGCCACAGTACAGGTACTTTCAATGAACCTTGGGCGATGAGAGGTGCTGCTACCTGGCAAGGAGTATGCTCAGGCCCTACTAGGCAGAGGGGACCACAGATGCCAAGGCCCTGTGGTGAGCACTTAATCTATGAGGCTGATGGTATAGGCCTGATGTGTAAAGAGGTTGAGGCTAGAGAACCTGGCAAGAGCCAGATCCTGGCTCTGAAGCCCTATTGGGAACTCTGGAGTTCATCTTGAAAAGATAGGGAGTGGGTACTGAAAGGTTTTGCCAATGAGTACATATGTGAACATCACTGAATATTTCAAATGAGCACCACACAAAGATCCTTTTCCAGGGTTATCAGAAGGAGATTCACTCGACTTCTCCACATGTCTGTAAAATGGCATAGCAACCCTGCCCTCTGCCTACTGCCTATGGAGGAAGTGAGCATGAGGATATGGCTTCCCAGAGATGCAAATCTTAATGGCAAAGCTACTATGATTTTGTAAACAAGGACAAAGCAGTTACATCCAATCAGCTGGGAGAACAGATCTGCTGCCGAGTTTAGTAACAGATGGTTACAAGTAAAGGAGTAGGTGAACCCAGGAGGGACCTGGGAGAGGTTGCTACAAGGACTTGCTGGGAGCAACTGGAGCCCAGCCCTGCCTCAGAAAAGGTGCTGGGCTTTGGGACAAGTCCCTTCCTCTCTCTGTACCTCAGTCTCCTCAGCTGATACAGAGAAGAAGGCAATTGTGCCTAATCACAGCTTGGGAAGCCTAGGAACTGGGGAAGTGAAACACATGTTTATTTGCAAGGTGCTGGATAGTTTGCAAAGCATATTACCTGCTTCATCTTAGATTCCCATGGGGATGGAGGTGGCATCTGTCGAGTACCTGCTGTGTGCCAGGCACAGGGCTTGGGTAATATATTTACATTCATCTCATGCCAGCTTCCTAACCAACTTTCCTAGAGAGCACTGTCATCCTAAGTTTACATTTGAGGAAACTGAAGTCCCACTGCTAGAAGGTAGTTCAAACAGTACTTGACCTCAAGGTTGTCTGACTACAGATCTCCAGAAACTTCTACAATACATTGCAGCCTTCAAGTTAAGAAACTTTCAGGGGCTTTTTCATTTCCCTTCAACCTTATGTCATCTTGAAATTGAAATAAGGTAAATTACTTAGTTTGTCCAAATTTCAATTTTATCATATAGGAAAAATATAGTCAATATTAATTTCTGTGGCATAGAAAATTCATAAGATTAATAAAATACATAAAGCATCTAGAACAATGCTTGATACATGTATAATATCAGATATTTTCATGTGTAATATACCCACTAGCTGAGTACAAATAAGAATGTATTGGCATAAGTTTGGACAGTAGGAACTCAGAGTGTGCAGATGGATGGTTGGTACAGAAATCTGGCAATAATTGGTAATGTTGAAGCTGCACTTATCTCATGACCCAACAGTTATACTCTTAGTCTTTATACTCTAAGAAGGAATGTGAATATGTATATGAGGTAGCCTGTATAAAATGGTACTGGCATTAAAAAAAGAACTTTATTATCCATTATCAGAAGACTAGGTGAGTAAATTGAGCTATAGACACACATAGAATATAATACAGTGGTCAAAAGCAACTGAGTATTCTTCCTGTCAAAGACACTGAGGGCAAAGTATGTCTCAATAAACACAGAACTGTGGGATTTTCATAAAGTCCTAAAGCATGGGAAATAATGATTTTTCTTAAGAATCACATTCTAGGAGTGTTTACATGCACAGTAAAACCATGGAGAAAGATTAAGATCAAACACCACATTCAAGTGGGGGGGGGCAAGTAGGAAATGGGACAAGCAATTTAAAAGAACTTGATAATATTCCTGTTTTTAAATAGATAGGTACTTGTGCATTCACTGTATTACTATTTCTGTATTATTTATTGAGTCTATTTATATTGATCACTAGAGATGATAAGTACTCATTTTATGTGGATTAAATATGTCATTATAAGTTTTAAAATACAATTATAGAGCAATGTGCCGGAGCAGAGAGATTGTATTATTTGCCTCTGCTTGTCTGATGTCAAGTGCACTTCCTTGCTCATGGTAGGTATTTTAAATGTTGTTTGTTGAGTGAATGTGTAAATGGATGTCTTTCCTTTCACGCTTCACAGCCCTTCAGCTAACAGACACCCTGACATAGGGCTAGATTTCATGTCACTCAGAACAGTTGAGCAAGTAAATACAGGAAGTGCAGGTAACTATAGCCCATGCTCCAGGTAGCACACTGAGAAAATTTCATTCAGCCTCAGCTGTGCTCTTATCTATCCATCCATCGATCCATCGATCCATCCATCCATCCATCCATCCATCTATTCATCTATAGCTGCTTCTAATCAATAAGTATTTATTGAAACAAAACCTGGTAGGGATCAGGAGTAACTTCTTCAAAGAGGTGAATTAGATCTCCATCCAAGATACTGACTCTGCATGTAACTACACTGCCCCAGAGTTCATCTCAGTGCCCCAGCTGGATGTGGGAGTATTTTGTATGAAATCCTCAACTCACCTTGGCATACAAAGGAAGAAGGAGTCTCCCCTGGGTGGACTCGTCCTGTGATAAATACCACCTTCTGCTCTGCCCCTTCCCGGAGATTATCTGTAAAGATAAAATGGAAGGAGATCATGATTGCGAAAGAGGGCAAGAAACAGGGAGACTATTTTTGATAAATGGGCGAGGGGCAGATGGAGAATATGCTGGATGCTTTACATTTATCTCTTAAACCATTGCATTAGAATAATTAATGCCTAGCCATTACTAACTAATTAAATTATGTTCCTAGTTATTCAATATTAAAAGACTGCATTCCCTTTTCTTGGTGCTGCTTTGCATATTATATTAATATGTAATGTTTGCAATCATCTGAGGAAGCCATATGAGTAAAGTTGAATCCCAAAGCCACTGGATGTGTCCATAGGCTATTGTCTATCTTTCTGAGTGTCAGAATTCTAATCTATAACCTAGGATGAGTGTAACTACTTTATGGGGCTGTTGTGATGATTAAATAAGCTTATACATTGCATAGTACTCAGCAAATATCTAGTACATAGTAAAAATAGGCAGGTGTTCCTATAATAGTAACAGTAGCAATTGCTATTTAATCAGCCACTTGTGTCAAAATTATTCATATGCATATTTATAATTCTCCAGCAGTATGAAGTTGACATCCCTGCTACAGGAACAGAATGAGACTCAGAGAGGTTATATAATCTGTTTAAAGTGAGCCAGCTAATGCATGGTGGCAAGAGCTGAGATTAGAACCCAAATTCCTAAGTGGTAGTGATAAAGTCACAAGGGCCAGATTTCCTGTCATCTTTGAACAACTAGACGATTGAACAAAATATGCAAATATTGGACAAAAAGCATGACAAAAGGAAAGAAAGTGAGGTATTCCCTATAGCTACCCTGACATTTTGCCTGATGGTCCATCATAGAACAGAGAGTAGTATCCTGAGCAGAGCATGGGTGCTTCACTGAGCTTTAAATTTAGCAGGTGACATGGGTAAGGAATCCCTGAATTCCAGAAAGGACAGAGCCCAAGTCTGTAAAGCATTCTTCTCAACTTTTTGTTAGATTTCAAGATGTACACGCAGAGTCACTCTTAGTGTGTACATCTTCATGCTGTAGTTTGAATGTTGAGTAACCCCAAAATCCCACATGTTGCAGCCTTGACCACAGGCATGTGGCATTGCTGGGAGTCACGGAATCTTAAGGGGGTAGGGCCTATTAGAAGGCAGTGGTTATTGGGGCACGCTCTTGAAAGGGTGAGGACTCCTGCTCCTCTTTTTTCATCCAGGCTTGCCTCCAGCTGTCCATGTGGTAAGCAGTTTTTCTCTATCAAATACTCCCATCATGATACATTGTGCTCCCCAAGGTCCAAAAGCAACAATGCCAAGTTACTATGGAATGAAACCTCCAATACCGTGAGACTAAATAAGCCTTTCCTTCTTTAAAAAAAATTTATTGTAAAGATGCTGTGCAGAAGGGTTACAGTTATAAAGGCAATGAGTACATGACTTGTCAATCATTGTTACCCCTTCCCTTGTTGTTCTCTTGCTATCCCTTCCTTCCTTCTCCTCCCTCCCTCCTCCGCTCCTCCCCACCTGAAGTTGTAAAGTTTGTTTCCAACATACTGTCCTGTGGGTATCATTGTTGCAATGGGTTATCCTGTGTCCTTGTTTCAGTGTTTTGTTATTCCCCTCCACCTCCCCAGATTAGACAAATGTGTATATCAAAATCAAGTACAGTGACAACAGGGTATATACCATAGGGGGAATAACATACAAAGGAAATTTAAAAAAAATCACAAAGTACATTTAAAACAATAACACAGACCTCTTATATCCATATCTTGGGGTTCATTTCACTTAGCATCATCTTTTTTTTTTTTGCCAGTTGTAGGGGCTGAACTCTAGCTTCAGCTCAAGGCTTGTGCCCTACCACTTGAGCCACAGCACTACTTCTGGCTTTTTTCTGCTTATGTGGTGCTGAGGAATCGAACCCAGGGCCTCATGCAATAGCATCATCTTATATGGACATATGTACTTAGCTTTTACGCTTTTCAGCTCATCTGATAAGATTATCCTATATGTTACTAATTATTGCAAATAAGGGAAACTATGGGACATGAATTTCTTTGGGACTGGCCCAGTTCACTTAATATCATTTTCCCCAAGTCTTTTCATTTTATAACAAATAGGGAGGTGTCCTTCTTTCTGATGGAATCATAGAATTCCATTGTATACACCACATTTTCTTGATCCACTCATCTACTGAGGGGAATCTGAGTTGGCTCCATATCTTAGCTATGGTGAATGTTGCTGGATAAACATAGTTGTGCTGGTAGCTTTAGTATGGCCTTGTTTAAGTGTGATTGCTGGGTCATAGGGTAGCTCTATGTGAAGTCTTTTGAGGAACCCCCCCCCATACTGCTTTCCAAAGTGGTTGAACAAGTTTACACTCCCACCAACAATGCAGTAGGGTTTCCTTTTGGTCACATCCCCTCAAGTATCTGTTGTTATTAGAGTTCTTAACTTTAGCCATTCTAACTGGGGTGAGGAGGAATCTCAATGTTGTTTTGATTAGCATTTCTTTTATGCCAGAAGTTGAGTATTTCTTCATATGTCTACTGGCAATTCTTGTTTCCTCTTCAGAGAAGTCTCTCTTTAAGTCTTTAGCCCATTTGTTGATGGGGCCATTGTTTCTTTGAAGAATTGTTTTGGGGTGACTTAATTTTTTGAGTTCTAAGTATATTTTACATATGAGGCTCTTGTCTGCTGTATAGCTAGTGAAAATCTTCTCCCAGTTTGTGGGCTTTCTATTGATCATTTCCTAGCTATGTCCTTTGCCATGCAGAAGCTCTGCAGTTTCATGCAATCCCATTTGTCCAGCTTTTCTTTGATTTGTTGTGTTTCTGGGTCTTTATTAAGAAAATTTCAGTCTGTGCCAAGGAGCCCTAGAGTTTCTCTTATTCCTTTCCTCCTTAAAAATTGTTTATCTCAGGTATTTTTGTCAGTGATGGGAAAGTACCTAGCACATTCCATGATGTCAGGGAAACTGCCAGGGAACTGTGCATTGCACATCTGCACATTTCTCAGGAGTCATAACAGGGATAGGATTTATTTGAATTCCTATTGCCAAAGTAAAAGTCCTTGTTGACCATTCAGGAAGGATAACAACTCAGAAATGCCATAATTCGGAGGTAGAGTAAATGCCCATTTTAACAAGGCTTCAAAGAAGTGTTGAAAGAATTAAACTAAAGGGAAATTAACTGTTTGCTCTATGAAGCCCAACTCTATTGAAAGGAACACAACAAAATACAGACACCCAACAATGTATAATTTGTAATATCTAGCATCTAAGAAAAATAGATATGGAAAAATATTAGATATGCAGAAAAGTAGTAAAATGTCTCCAGATAAAATTCTAAGCTCTGGGCTGGGAAGGTGGCTCAGTGGTAGAGCGCATGCATGCCTTGCATGCCTGAGGCCATGGGTTCGATTCCTCAGCACCACATAAGCAAAAAGAAAAAAGCCGAAGTGGCGCTATGGCTCAAGTGGTAGAGTGCCAGCCTTGAGCTGAAGAGCTGAGGGACAGCACCCAGGCCCAGAGTTCAGGCCCCACGACCGCCCCCCCCCAAAAAAAATAAGCTCTATCTAGTATAATGAAGTTTAGCTAGTATAGACAAGAGTGACATTTCCTAAAAGATAGAGTGAGGAAAGGGTACTCAACCATGAGCATAAGGACAGAACAGAGCAGGTGACCTACAGAGATATAGAAGGGAACACAGAAAAACTGTATGATAGGAGCCCCTCTATGTTAGAGGATGATTTTGGGATCGATAAAGAATGAAGAGTTACCAGCCTTTCTCCTTCTAGAATACTAGTGACAATCATTTTGACTGTTCATTATTCCAACAGATAGCCAGAGACTAAAGTAAAAGAAAATTCTACACAGCATTGTTCTAAAGGCTTGAAACCGTTTGGTCTATTCGAGTGACTAGTAGAGTTTGGAGTCATTATAAGACTATAGTTTGGAGTCATTATAAGACTTATACACAAGAACTTATCCTGTGGTCAGTCTATGCTAAGCACCTATAGGCTCAAAGAGGGGATGAGAAGGCCTAGCACTCTGAAGAAGAGAGGAGATAAACACTTGAACTGTTCCTGGACTGGATATAAACTACTGAATGGATGTCTATCTGTGGGTATATATCTAATGTCTTTCCTCAGGCCCTGTATGAAGCAGATATTCATGCACTGCTTGTTAAGTTAATGAATGAAATATTGTATAGATCCTACTTCTCTTTATGGGTAGACAGTATCTCACTCAATCTTCATCATGCTCTTGTGAGGTGGACAATGTTAATCTTGTTTTATAGGTGAGAGAACTAAGATGCACAGAAGGAAGAGATGTGCCCACAGTCGCACAGATAGTAGCCAGTCCCCAGCTCCCTATCAGTGCCCCTTCACTGTCTCCTTTTGGAGCCGCTAAATTATAAGATCTGCTACATTTCCATCTACAATGGACACAAGACAGTTTAGTTTCATTCCTTATCACTGATGGAGATTGAGCTACTTAATCTTTGTTATTTTTTCACTTAACAATAAAACAAATCACCAAACCCTTAAAAAAACAGTACCTAACACTGACCCCATGTATCCCCGCAGTCCGGAAATGATAAATGGCATTACTGCCGCTCTTGGTGAAGGCAGACTTTATGGATGTCTCCCCTGACCCAGTATCAATTCAATTGCATTCAGCGTTTCTGCTGACCACAGGGAAATGCAAAATGGGCATTCTATTTGCACACTAATTTTACTGAGCCCCTGTGTCTTCATAAAATGATAACGTGGGGCTAATAAAAATCAAGCATCTCGGGTGCTAATATAAGCAAATGTTGATGCAGGCAGGTAACAAATTGCTTTGTCATTTAGGAGGCCATAAAAGAGCATTATAATCATCTTTAGGCAAAATGGATGGATCGCCTTTGCTTAGCTTTTAGCTTTCATTTGCAAAATCAATTTAAGGTAATGTAGCAGCTCTGGATTGGTGTGACACGGGGCCTCTCCTACCCCCTCCTATCACCAACCATATCC